CCAAAGGGCTTTTTTCAAAAAAATTGGGCCTTGGCAAATCAAAAAACCCCAAGGGGCCCTTCCCGCCCCAAATCCCCCCCCCCCCCCCTCCTTTCTACTATGATCGACTGAACGAATTTTATAGTAATCTTTAGATTGTCATCGATGGTTATGATCCAGAACAAATCTCATTCTATGATCCAGCTAAAGTTAATCTTTTAACAAACGTATCAATACCGGTCGGTCATCAGTTTAAATCATTATCAATAGGCGTGTTAAGTGAGAAAACCAACTCGTGAAATATTTGACGAAATTTATTGAATCGCGGCGTATGAGGGTTTCAATAGACGCTCTTTCTTTTGGATCATTCAGACTTTTTCAAAATGTGTGGAAGTAGGGTTTTTAGAAAGCCGTGGTTTTTATGAGACTCGGGCACAGGAATAGGTTTTTTTTGAAAAATTCTCTAGATTCGAAAGATTTTTAAAATCATCATCATATTCAGAACAGAATGGGAATTTTTTGTGAGTACCCTAAAAACCCTACTTCCATACATTTTAAAAAGAATCTGAATGACCCAAAAGAAAGAGTGTCTCTTGAAACCCTCATACGCCGGGATTAATTAAATTTGGTCCAAATGACATGAAGTTAGGCTAGATCAACTTTCTCGTGCAACACGCCTATCGATATTTATATTATTTGATTTCTGTATAGAAACCTCGTGTGTATAATCCATCTGACAGTCCCTCGATAGCATGTATTGATTGTGGTATGAAAAACAATCAGTTACGTATACTATGTGCTTTAGGCGCAAAAGTTACTGTTGTACCATGGAATTATCGAGTTAAACAAGAAGGTTAGAAGAGAAAGTATTTTCTATACCTTGAAAACTATTCTACATTTGCATTATGATAGACTTCGATGGATTATTCATTTCTAATGGTCCAGGTGATCCACAAATGTGTGACGAGTCTATTCAAACAATAAAATCATGGATTCGTGAAGATAATACTGTGATCAAACCTGTATTTGGTATTTGTCTTGGTCATCAATTAATGGCAATTGCTGTTGGGTTGAAAACATATAAAATGAAATACGGCAATCGTGGACAAAATTTGCCTTGTTTACTTGTTGGCACCAATCGTTGTTTTATTACATCACAGAATCATGGTTATGCTGTTGAAACATCCAATGGTATGCCAGATAAGTGGAATGTATTATTTGAGAACAAAAATGATCAGTCAAATGAAGGCATCATTCATAGAAATAAACCGTTTTCCAGTGTCCAATTTCATCCGGAACATTGTGCAGGACCCAAAGACACAGAACACATATTTAATATATTTGTTGATATCGTAAACCAGTACAAACAAAAACTGAATGATAATTTTGTATTGAAGACATATTTAATTGATACTCTAAGTCGTGTTGTTGATTCCAATGTTCCAAAAGCACACTGTGCTCATTCAAAAAAAGTATTAATATTAGGAAGTGGTGGTTTGAGTATTGGACAAGCGGGTGAATTCGATTATTCTGGCTCACAGGCACTGAAAGCATTAAAAGAAGAAAATATTCATACAATATTGATAAATCCAAATATAGCAACTATACAAACCTCAAAAGGTTTAGCTAATAAAGTATATTTTTTACCAATAATATCCTATTATGTTGAACAAGTTATTAAAAATGAACGACCAGATGGAATATTATTAAGTTTTGGAGGACAAACAGCTCTCAATACTGGTATTGAATTACATGAAACAAATATATTGAAGAAATATGGATGTAATGTACTCGGGTAAGTGTGTTTTCATTGCAGAATTTATTTTATACAAATATGTCCTGCTTAGACGCCAATCTGGTAACTCGGTCACCAAGCAGCAGGGTGCTGATCATGTTCGGTAGCAGGTTGCAAAGGTGATGGCACCTATACCCCTGCTGCTCCCACCCCCGTCCCGATCATTTTTTTGTCTTACATTCTTGTTGTGGGTATAGGCATTAGTGTAGAAATAGGCATGCATCAATACCAATCATTTCTGAAGATATTGTACAATATTATTGGGTTCCACAATACACTGGATTCCAACTTTTTAACCTTAATATCATTTACATTCATAAAACATTGAGGAAGCATATCCCAATTAAGATATAAAAATATATCCCGTTCGGGATATATTTTGATTCAGAACGGGATATAGAACATGCATAAAGGTAGGCTTAACTCAAGCCACCCAATACCCAATAATGTTGTGAAAATCCAATATGTCGGGTCCCAATATATTGTATTGGTGCATGGCTATATGTGAAATCACTAAACTAGACCTTGGACATTTTTAGTATTAGCAAAAAATCAATACTTTTAGAGAACGTGGATCACTCCCTTTTTGAAACTAGAGTTTTTCAGTAAAACTTTGGTTTCAACTTATACATGATTATTTTTCAATGAAACTTTGTATATAGAAGCGGATACATCTGAAGAATATGCTGAACAAATTACAAAACTATTGCATGTAGTATTTGAGAAATCTTAAAAAACTGACGCGTCAGTCATTTCTACAATACGTCGGAACATGAAAGCTCACTAGAAATCACATAATGATTGAGAGTAAAATTTATTTTTCTCTGCGAAGCTACAACAGATCAATTTGATTATAACAGCTTGAAATATATTCATACAAAGGATTTAGAGAAAAATAAATTTTATTTTCAAACATTATATAATTTCTAGCTCGAACACGCCAAAAAAGATCACAGGAAATTCTATAATGTTTGAAAATAGTCGAGCCAGTTTGTTAACAAGCTGCTTGTTGACCGAGTCGGCGTGGTAACGGGCTGCTTGGTGCCTAGCACCAAGTCTTAGCTTGGGATTGGTGCATGCGTAATCTTGTTCGAGTATTGTCATTTTCCATTAGGACTTTTTTTACTTCAAGAATTATTCTGTGTATGTTATAGTTTGATAAAGATTAATTCGAGATAACCAAAATAATTTTTCCTGTGCATGTGTCTTAAGATCTTAATATGTCACATCAACAAGTATTTTCTTTTTTTTGTTTTAGTACTCCGATCGAATCTATACAAATAACCGAAGATCGATCGTTATTTGCTCAAAAAATGTCGAATATTGGTGAAAACGTAGCACCATGCGAAGCAGCTGCTACGCTTGAAGAGGTATTCAAAAATAATATTTGAAGTATTTCGCAGCTTCACATTTGCCTGTGTTTTCTTTCAGGCCTTAGAGTCAGCTGAACGTATTGGTTATCCTGTTTTGGTTAGGTATGAGAAAGGGGTGGTCTAACGATTTTATATTTTATTTTCTTTTTCTTTCAGAGCTGCATTTGCTCTTGGTGGACTTGGTTCTGGTTTTGCTAATAATGTCGAAGAGTTCATTCCTTTGGTGACATCTGCATTTGCACATACATCTCAATTACTTATTGATAAATCACTCAAAGGTTGGAAAGAAGTTGAATATGAAGTTGTTCGTGATCAGTTTGACAATTGCATTGTTGTTTGCAACATGGAAAACATCGATCCGCTTGGCATTCATACAGGTACGTGCCTATAGTGATTAAGCGTATTAAGAGTATTATGTACTGTGCTAAATGTTAAGGTGAATCTATGGTTGTTGCTCCAAGTCAAACATTGACAAATGAAGAGTATAATTTGTTACGTACGGTCTCGATTAAAATTGTAAGACATTTGGGTATTGTTGGCGAATGTAATGTACAATATGCACTTGATCCATTGAGTAAGGATTATTATATCATTGAAGTCAATGCGCGTTTATCCCGTAGTTCGGCATTAGCATCAAAAGCAACAGTAAGACGTGATCGTAGTTATTTAACAATGAGTAACTTAGTTTTATAATTAGGGGTATCCATTGGCTTATATAGCAGCAAAATTGGCATTAGGAATGAGTCTAGTTGAACTGAAGAATACTGTGACTGGATGTACGTGTGCTTGTTTTGAACCGAGTCTGGATTATTGTGTCATTAAAATACCAAGATGGGATCTAAATAAATTTGTACGTTGTTCAAACAAAATTGGTAGTTCAATGAAAAGTGTTGGAGAAATAATGGCTATTGGACGAACATTTGAAGAAGCGTTTCAAAAAGCTCTCAGAATGGTTGATGAAAATGTGATGGGTTTCGATCCATATCAACGAACAATTGAGGACGAGGTATGCACATTTTCTTGAAAAGTTATGAACGGATGGTTATCAAGCTCATTGAGTTCAAAGAGACTTAAGACTGAATGATGTAAAACTCTTATGATAGAGTAACCCCAACTGTCTTATCGCCTTTTCCTTGAAATCTACTGATCACAGGTAATTTTTAATGCTTATCACGAATCTTATATCCATTCCGATTGATAGACCTTTCTCGAGTGTGTGACGGATAGAGATGTCGACCAGGTAGCTCAGTGGTTAGAGCATAGACACGGAATGTCAAGGTCCTGGGTTCGAATCCTAGTCTGATCACACATTTTTCCTTCACAGAGTGGGTCTATAGAAACTAGATTTCAAGCGTCCTACTAAAATTTTTCACCTCAAGAGATTTTGATACAGCCAGTTTGTAAAATACATCGATTTTACCTTGAAAAAGCTGTACAAGTTAAACACGCTGTATAAATCAAAATGTAAAATTTATATGGCTGTAGAAAACCTATCTACCAGTGCTGAAATTTTGGCACACAACTCGATATGTTCTGCAAACTCAAAAAGATCAAACATTACCTATAGCCAAGTAGATTTCAAGAAAAAGACAATGAGGCATTTGGGTACACCGTAAAGTCGGAAATTATGTATAGAAAATGCTAGGCGATTTTCAAATAGTCCATATACGACAACCTCACGGATTTTTCAGATTATAGAAAACCGAATTTCCAAGAATGTGGAAAATCGACATCGATGTTCTAGATTGTTGGGAATTATTTATGGAAAATCGAGCTGAATTTTTTTTCTAGACTGTTGGAAGTTCGATATTTTAGAATCTAAAAAGAAATCTTCGGCGTTTTTGTAGATGATGAGGCTGCTTCCAAGTATGCACAAATTATTTACACGAGAGTGAGCAAAGACAAGAGACAACTCTTTGGCAAGTCCGTAGGCTATTGATAACCAACAACCTAAAGAGCATAGATAGCTCATGAAATAGGAATAGTTTTTGATAAGACAGGCAGATTTTGACCAGCAGTTTCGTTAAAAAAAATTTCTTTCGCGTTCAGTTGCAACCGAACAAGCTCTAACGATGACTTTCATTTTTTGTAAATATTCACCACTCAGATGTAGCTGTATGGCAAAAGCTGACCGAAGCTTTTAGAAAATCCTTATCGATTTTCTGACAAATGAGAAAAAGTCAATTCATAGAAAATCGAATGAATTTTTTATAAAGCAGAAAATCAACATTTTCTAAAAAGTCAGAAAATCGCTCAGGATTTTATAAAAGTTGGAAAATCCTGGACGATTTTTCAGATCAATTTTCTATAAAATAGAAAATAATTCCAAACTATAGTGTACATTCTCTGCACAGTGGGCATCCAGGCGGAAATTTGGTCAAAAAGGCGAAGCTTACTTTTTCTTAATTTGAAGATCGTTGTATATACTTCAACTAATGGGATATCTAATGGCAAAAAAATTTTTGTTTGAAGTCGTTTCTTCGTGGAAAAAAGTTAGATGAAAAATTCTCTCTATAATTTGCTAACTATTTGAAAAAAGCCAATTTTCTCAGCATAGATTTAGTTTTAATCTCAATCTAAGGACATATTCGGAATCAGCAGAAATTGGGCTATCTACTGCTATAAAAAAATTTTCGTTCCACATTCGAGCTAAAATAATTTAAACGTTTTTCTAAAACAAGCGCTTTTCCCAAAAGGTTTGCTTAGTACAGAGAGTTTTCCAAGCTCATAGAACCTTCATCTTTTACCAAAATGAGCTCCGTAATCTCATGTATTTATTGTATTAGCCTTTAGTCGCCTAACTTTAACTGGAGCCCTAGACAGATTTTTCAAAACCTCTCGATTTTTGAGGTAAACTGACCTTTCCGCCCTCAAAAAACATTTTTATTCAAGAAATAATGTGATATTCGGAATCAGCGTGAAAAACTGAATCGAATGATGTATGAGTCAAAAATTTTCTGCCGATATATTTGGATTTTGTTAAAATCCTGCCTGTGAAAAGCCGTAGCGATGAAAATTTTTAATTGGCCTAAAAAAATGTATTTTAACAGCGGCCGAGATGCCTATAAAAAATTTTCCTGTAGGTTTTCGTGTACGCTAATTCCAAAAAGGAGCTTTACAAAGTTCCAAAACGGTTTTTAAGAGGGTTTGCAGAGGCCGGATCTCCAGAAAACTGCTTAAAAATCATCTTTTAACTTTGAAAACCACTTTTATAGAAATAGCACACCCGAAAACCTCTAAGGAAATTTTTTTGTAGAGGTTTGGATTACTTTCAGACCACATGTCCGCCTGATCTAGCAAAAAATGCCCACTGTGCTCTGGTTACATCCGCGTTTTTAAATGAATGAAAAATATTATTATATTTAGTAATTTTACAACCGCTATTTCTGTTACTAGAGACTCAGACAGAATTCATTTCTGAAAGAATCAAAAGAAGATACCACGACCGGTTTCGACCTTTCTTAAGGGTCTCGTCAGGTGGTTTCCTTTGAGAAAGACAGAGTTAAGGCACGACAAGCAACACAAACTCCGTCCACACCGTATGAGGGTGTTACTATTCCTTGTTCTTATCGAACAAAGAACGATAACTTTCACACGACGAGAGCGAAGCACGATA